GTATTATTTTAGCTGTCGATAGGTTAGTAAGAAAAATAATTGTTGAAATGTTGTTTAAAATAGAACGAAAAATATTTATTTATTTAATAGCAAACCTTTTAGGCATCCAAGTTATATAACTAACATTAAATTTGCAGAGTAGTATGTTCCCAAAACTTGAAAGGATTGAAGGTTAAATAATAACCCAGAAATTATTAGAACGGAACAAATAAAAATTTTCAACTGTTAAAATCACAAAATGATCTCAGAATAATATTTAAAATCCAAAAGCATTGGAAAGCCGCTTCGTGCTAAGACGGGACACCTCAGTAGCGCGTACCTAAGACCTATTGTCTTGCATACCAACACTTAGAATTTAAACCAGTGAAATAGAGCTTGATTCTGTACATATCTAACTTCAGTCGATCCACGACATCCACCAACCCTCCTCTATCGTCTGAGGTGGGTTTCTGTCTCACAAACAGTAGTACTTCATAAGTTGGATCTTGAAGTTGATCACTAGTAAACATATGATTACTATAAGCATGATAGGATTTAGGGTGATTGTGGAATTTTTTATTTCTGAATTAGAGATGGTATGTAGGCACTTGTGGGGAGTTTTCTACTTGTATGAAACAACTTTTCAGTATTTTAATGTTTTTCAATGTCTTTCTAACTGAGATCAATTTGTGATTTAAACTATAAAAATTCTGCAGTCCCCACAAATCTCCTATATTTAAAAGGAGAATTGCTGTTCAATTCCGATGCATTGTGAGTGATCCTTTTGTTGATAATAATCAGTTTAGAATACTGGCAAATGATATTGTTCTAAATTTACTACAATGAAAATGATGAGGTTAAAACGAACTAAACTTATGAACACATTTACGTCGTCACCTTGTATTAAATGTCCCCTTGGATTAGGACCAGTCTCTGTCGGGATATATGCACCTTGTGATGATTACTTCGGCATATTATTTTTGTCACATTTGCTTTTACACGGATGGATTATGACTTGCAGAGGAATCGTCGTTGTGAATTTCATCATATTTAGAATCCATCATCTGAATGTACCTTCATTCTAGCGTTGATGTTTGCAATGAGACTTGGACAGTATATTTCATTTCGAATGTCCAGCGCTTCATCCACTGAGCTACTGATCGTCAGTTGTCGAAAAAGCAAAAAAAGTGAATTGCTGAACAACTAACAAAAATTCTCATTCCTAAAATTTAAACATTTAGTAACAATAAGAATACAAAATAAAAAGTTCAGTAATATACCGTTCAATAATTTACTGACTACAAGATTGAGTTATCACTTATTATCCTTAATTTTCAGTAATTCTGTGTTTATTCATAAATTTGGATGTTTGTAGATGTTCATAAAGTGACTATATTTGTGGAATCATCGATGCCTTATGTCTTATTACAGTGATTACTTACTTACTCCTGTTACCACTCATGGAGGAGCATAGATCGCTCACCAGCGTTCTCTCTCCGACTCTGTCCTGGACAATTCTTTCCAGTTCTTTCTAGTTGCTATTCATCCTTTTGATGTCTGCTTCCGATTCCCGACGGAGTGTGTTCTTTAGTTTTCCTCCTCTCTGTTTCCCTGCTAAATTTCAAGTTATCACTTTTCTCGTGATGAAGTTCAGTAATTTCCGTAATGTATGTCCTATTCACCTCCATCGTGTTTTCCTAATTTTCTCCTCAGCTGGGAGTTGGGTTCTCCAAATGATATTAATTTGTAAAAATGTATGCCTTCAAAATTTAATATAATATCCCTACAAATTATTTATTCTAATCAGTATGTTTAAATAAACTAAATAATTTTGCGTTTTATTTAAAAAATTCACGAGATTAGTGCTAATATCTTAATTATAAACTACTATACCTACCAATTTAAATAAAACATATAATTTAGTAAAAACTGTCAGCTGGACACTTTGTCTCTTATACAATAAATTGAATTTTAATATTTAAAATTAAATGATAAGAAATTGTAACAAAAAGTAATACTTTCTTTCATATTGTCTGATAATTTATTCATATCAGAAGGGTTTTGTGAATATTATAGTAATTTCAACGGTTGAGATCATGAGTCAATTGAAGCTGGACCATCATTGAAAACCTGGAAGCACAGGACGGCCGTTTCGTCCCACTGTGGGACTCCTCACCAGTGCGCATCTACGCCGTGACTGAAGGCCCTGAGTTCGAAACCATATTCCAGTACTTCATTTGCTAAATGTTCATTAATTGTCTCAGGCTTCATTGTTCCTGCATTTCCATACCAATTACTTACTGTTCTTGCTCTTCTCTCCTCTATCTTCTCACCGTTTTGCTGCCAGACATTTTACTCCTGACTAGTGCTATATACTAATTATGTCGACATAAGTAGCACACACCATACTATTAGTGGTACTCCTTGAAATTAGTATTATCAACTAATGAAAAAAGTTTATAATGAGAAAAAAAATCGACAAGTCGTTGTAATTATTATTGTGTTTTGTTTTAACCTATTGATTATGTAAATTAATTCCAAAATAAAAAGAAAACACATATGAATGAGTTCAATTAAGAATTAGATGTAGGAGTAAATTTTCATAGAACTCACACTTCAAATGTTCAGTAATTTTTAGTCTGAAAAAGGTTGTTGGTGTTTTTTTCCTCTTGAATTTACTTTATTTTATGAAACAATATCATTTATAATTCATATTGAACAATTCATTATGAAATAAGGTAGTAAACAATGCACTACTGTTTACATTACAATACTAAACAATATGATCTGAAAAACTTACTAATTTGACATCAAAGATGATGATGATGATGATGATGATGATGGTAACGTCCTATCGGGGTGTATTCTGAATTTTGCAAATCATTGGCTAACATCCTATGGAAAACTACTAAAAAAACCAATAGGTTCATGACTTGTTTTTATCCTCGTTTAGCATAGAGATAATAGTGTGACAAAATGCTTGACAATATTGATTTAGTCCACTTTCTTAAAAATCTGAATCATTTCGAAATAATAACGCAATTATAATTCAATGATATCAAAGGTCATTTTTGTACTTGCGACTGATCATAACGGTTCATCAAAAATTTCTATTAAATCAAATTAAAATGTAGTGGATTTTTAATTTGATATAAGAAATAAGTGCTCAGAAATAATAAACATAAGGTTTACTGTTAATATCATTTAATAGATAAACTCACAGTTCGTAGCTGTTATATTATTCTGCAAAATTGAAGGTCATTAAACAATAATCTAATTGTGAAGTTCGGATAATTTTATTTACCTAGCTTCATCAGCTGAGATGGGTATCCGTCTCACAAACATCGTGATTGAATTTCAATGATCACAGCTTCTCGGTAGTACTCTACAAGTTCGATCTTGAATCTGACCACTAGTAAACAAATGATTACTATAAGCATGATAGGATTTAGGGTGATTGTGGAATTTTTTATTTCTGAATTAGAGATGGTATGTAGGCACTTGTGGGGAGTTTTCTACTTGTACGAAACAACTTTTCAGTATTTTAATGTTTTTCAATGTCTTTCTAACTGAGATCATTTTGTGATTTAAACTATGAAAATTCACATAGCAACTTGTCATATTAAGGCAGTAAAAATTGTTGTTCCATACAAAGTAGAATGATAATATTGTGAATAAATAGAAGACAGAAAATTCATGTACTCACTAGGTAAATAAGCAATAAAATACCATAATTGTTAAAAAATAAAGTTAAGTCTGAATACTTTATTTATTATAGAATCAATAATTATAGTCATTCTACATCAAAACTCAATAGACAAACTACAATCGATCATTTTATTTTGTTAAAGACAATTGATAGGAATTTCTAGATTTCAGTTTTATATTGACTGGCTATCATCAACAAGTTATATCTGCAGTTTTGAATGAAATAATGTTATCCAATATGATCTACGCCGACGTCAATTGATTTTGTATTCACAGACCATACAATTGAGCTATTTAGTATGTGGCTAGCTTTACATGAGACTGACTCTATAACATTGACTGTTTACTGGATTACTTACTTACTTACGCCTGTTACTCCTCGTGGAGAAACATAGACTGCCAACTAGCACTCTCCATCCAACGCTACTCTGGGAAATCCTTTTTAGTTCTTTGCAGTTGATATTCATCCTTTTCATATCTGTTTCTATTTTTTGGTCTTCATCGTTTCCGTTTCCCTTCAGGATTCCAAGCTAAGGCTTTCCTCTTAATGCAGTTTGGTGATTTCCGTAATGTATGTCCTATCCATTTTCATCGTCTTTTCCTAGTTCCCTCTTCAGCTGGAAGCTGGTTTGTTAACTCCCACAGTAGTTTGTTGCTGATGGTATCCGGCCAATAGATGTTGAGTATCTTGCGTAGACAGCTATTTATAAATAATTATACCTTCTTGATGATGGTTGTAGTAGTTCTCCAAGTTTCAGGTTAATACAGTAGAACTGTCTTGACGTTCGTATTGAAGATTCTGACTTTGATATTGGTTGAAAGTTGTTTTGAGTTCCATATATTCTTCAATTGTAAGAATGCGGCCCTTGCTTTGTCAATATTTACTGGATAGTATATAATAATACCACAGAATAAACAAATATGATTAAGCGCTTGCGCGCGAGATTGATAGGTCCTTGGTTCGAATCTCGCTAGGAGCGGGATCGTGTATGCGCACTGCTGCGGAGTTCCATACTGGAACGAAACAGCCGTCCAGTGCTTCCAGGTTTTCCATGGTGGTCTAGCTTTAATTGACTCATGATTTCAACTATTGAAAATATGGAAGTAATTATTATATACTAATCAATTGTACTACAATCATTCATGTTTGAATGGGCTGATAGTTAAGATTTAATTAATAATATTCAACAAACTTGTTGACTTCTACAATTGGCATTTTTCTTTATTCTTAAAATTCTTATTTAAAGCAATTTTTCTGTCGTATGAACTATTTGTTTTATTTATTCGTTTTTTTTATTATTGTTTATATTCAGGTGAAAAACCATTTGTTTGTGAATTTGAAGGATGTGATCGTCGATTTGCTAATAGTTCCGATAGAAAAAAGCATATGCATGTACATATGAATGATAAACCATATTTTTGTCGATTTAAAGGATGTGATAAAAGTTATACACATCCTAGTTCATTACGTAAACATTTACGTGTACATTATTTGTCACCGAATGATGCATTAAATCCAACAGACTATGATGCACATTCGAACTCAAGTGATACAATCAATAATAATAATAATAATAATAATAATAATAATAGTGATAATAATCAACTTAATACAAATGATTCACGTACATGTACGCGTACTAATAGCATGAATATGACAGAATTTCCAACACGTGAGTCTCATAATTCCGTTAATCCTACAAATTATTTTTATCCTATGATGAATCGAGATAATGTTGACTGTTTACGTAATAATAATTGTACTGGTAATAGTACGACTACTACTACTGCTACTCACAATAACAATAATAACAGTTGTACTAGTACACTGAATAAATTGAGAAAAAAAACTCAAGATAGTCCTATACATACTTCAGATTTTTCATTACGTAAAGCTTCAAGAAAACGTCATTATTCTACTAGAAATGAATATGATTCAGAGAGTTTTACACATGTTACTACAACTACAACTACTAATATAACTAGTAGTAGTATTAATATTCGATCACCATCTTCAAAAGATTTTATGTCACAGTTAGCAGCAGTAGTATGTGGTCCAACTGAAAAAGAGTTTAAATCCCAACGAAATAATTTAAATTATAATGAATTTCAAGAAACGATTCAACAACATTCTGAAAATATTTCACAATTTCGTAATGATACATTTATGTGGGGACAATTAGATAATGAACTCCCTATAACGAATAACCGTAATAATAATTATAAGAAAACAAATACTAATCTATCTTATTTATCATCCAATCATAATATTGATCCATTTTTATCAAGTTCACGCATGTATTCATCATTAAATTTTGGACAGTCTTTATCAACATTATCACAAATAACACCATCTTCTCCAACAGACATTATAACACAACATGAAATGAATATAGATAGTGTAAAGATGAAATCTGATCTATTAAATTTAAATCGCTCTTATGAATTACATAACAATGTAACTAATAATAATAATAGTAATCCATATGTTAATTTACATCACCAACAACATGAAGAACAAATGGATCATTTACAACATTCATCATCACAATATACATTGAATGAATATACTCAAAATTTATTTCATGCAAATGATTTTTTAATCGAAACTCAAAAAAATTTTGGATTAATAAAACATCCTTATTATCATACACAACAACAACAACAACGTCAAGGATCATATTGTTTTTTACCATCATCACATCAATATCATTCCGATAACCAACAATCTCAAGAATCTCAACATTTTCAACGGCAACAAATGAATTCCTCTCCAAAATTATATAATAATTTATATTCACTTGATACAAATCTTTTATATACGTGTAATAATAATAATAATATTAATAATAATTCACAATCTATGCATAATTTACAACAGCATCAAAAACATTTAACATCAGATAATATATTAACACAACAATCACAACAACATTCAGTGTATTCAGAAACAAGTCATCAATCGAATTCAACGGATTCTGATTTAGAAAATAGTAGTATTTTATTTAAAACTAATTTATCAGCAAATAATTCATTTATAAATATAAATAATAATAATAATAATAATAATAATAATAATGGTAATTCTATCATATCTTGTACTGGTAATATCCTATCTACAATAAATAATGATCATAATAATTTATCCATGACAAATGTACCAGTAATTTCTACACCGACTATAATAACAAGTTGTGAAACAAATTCATCAACAATTTCATTATTCTCACAATTGAATGAAAATAAATTAAAAGAGAATTTAGAAGTGAATAATAGTAATAATATTAGTAATAATAATAATAATAATAATAATAATAATTCTACAGATTTATTATTATCAGAAACATTACCCTGTGGAGTACAATTTCCTGTAGCTAATTCATTATCAAGTTGGCTTTCATTAAATAATAGAAATGGAATATCAGTTACAAATTATTTAGGATGGTCAATGTTAAATAATGATAAAACAATGATAACATCTAATATAAGTAATAATACCGATGAATTAACTCATCACTCTTTAGACAATAATAATAATAATAGTAATCAGATAGATGAGATAAACAGTATTGATCGTATACCCTCAACGGTACATCATCAAATGAAATGTTGTGAGAATTTCGATAATATTCCTTTATCGAACAATAATAATAATAATAGTTTTCTTAATAATGATAACGAGAAAGATACCAGTAATCAATGTACATTCACAAAAAATAAAATAAAAGATTCAATAATTTCCCCGTATATTACAAATTGTGCATTTTCATATATTTGTAATGCAAATGATGAGCATAAATTGCATGATAAAGAAGAAAATGATAAACGAAATAAAATAGTTGAACATAAGAATGATTATATTGACAACTATTATTCGTCATCATCTTCTACAATAATAGATTGTGTTAATAATTCTTCAACTTTATGCTCAATGATAAATAATTCAGCTATTCATGGAAACATTAATAATAATAATAATAACAATATTACTACTACCGGTACTACTCCTTTTCTTTCTGTTACAACTACTACTATTACTACTAATGCTAATAATGATAATGATAATAATAATGATAAATAGCATATATGACACTTTACAAGTTAAATAATTCAATTTCTAATCTATTTTTTTATACTTCCATTATAATTCTCTTCTACTGAAGATTATTTATTTACGTAATTCATTGGTCTATTTGATTATCTCCAATCCCTCCCCCTCCCGGTGTACATAAATATATTCAGCTCTTATTTTCAATTCTAATATATATATATATATATATATTTGAAATATTTCAATTGTGCCAAAAAGCCCATAGAATAATTTTCCTACAAAGTCAAGCTTCACTCATTGACAGTATTGTTTTTTTTCGAATACTTTCATTATGACTATCAGTCTCATGTTAAGTCGCTAAAGTAAGATAAACCAAACACACTCTATTCATTTCATTTGATATTATAATTGAATTGCAAAGTATTGTGTTACTAATTTTTTTCTGTTTTCTCTTGGAACTTTTCAGCATCATGTTCCTTCCTATTCCATTTTATCCACGCCATTTTTTTCTGTCATTATTTTATCTATCTGATTCTGTAGAATATTATTCTTAGACTACTTTTAATAGTTATGTAACATTCATTATCTTCACAGTTTTGCATTCACTCACTCACTCACTCACTTACTTTCTATCCCATATACCCCCAAACTAGTTTCTACATTTCTTTTTTATCATTTAAATGAAAATCTCTACTTATTTGTTTGTTTGTTCATTTATACACTTATCATTCTTCTTTATTTACTCAATGAGAAAACATAAAAAATAAATGAAACAGTTTTTTTCTTTTACATGAGATGAAAAACTTTTCTTCAGAGATTCTTTATTTGTGTTTACTGCAATAATGAGCACAATAATTTTTTTTCATTTTATGAATGGTCATTATGATGAAGTTAATAATAACATTGACGATGAAATCATTCTCTTTTTTTTACTCAGAAATGTAGATATAATAATAATATATACATACATACATACATTTATCATTGTTAACTCGATCATGTAATAGGTGATTGCATAACAGAATAAATTTTATGTTTTAAAATAAATGATTGAATTATTGAATACCTTTTTTTTAAATTTTTTTTAGAATTATTTCTGAATATCATGTTCAGTATTGCCGAGTTTTAATGACAAATTAAAAGAAATAATAAATTTTTTTGATGATATCAACATTGTACCATCAGTTATTTGAAGAGTATACATATTGGACTTGTTATCTAGGTTGAAGTGTAGGTCCATGTTTTCTTGTTGATTATTTTCAGGTTTTTGTTACAAAAAATAACTCTTTTTATTGTGATAAGGTAATCAGATAATTGGTGTTATTATCAGGTTATATGAAAAAGTTGTTTTGTTTAAATTTATAAATTTTGGTCGACATTAAAATTTTGACCTACTGGTTATCATAAACAACATTGAAATTGATTCTAAAAGTACTTGTCAATTTAAGACTAAATAATTCATACTCATTATTTATTAGTTTAATTGTACCATCAGTAATTCATTGTAAATTGAGTTAATGTTGGTCCTTTTTATACGCAGTTTCAAGAACGTTAGTCAGTTATAATCATTGTCATGCCTAATATAATTGAAAGTTAAACTAAGTCGTTACATTACATTTACGTGACAAGATGAAGTTAACAAGATAAGCAGAAAATAAATGGAAATATTACGGTAGACATTGTTATAAAAAAGACTGAATGTCGGAAGGGTATGCACGAAGAAATACTGGAAGTCAATATATAAAGGTAGATAAAGAATCAATGAATCTGTAAAACTGTGATGAATTTTTAGCCAATATCACTCAACGTCTCCAACTACTAATGACAGTTATCGCTCAACTTACAAACAGATTATCTGAATCTTTACATACGACTTAGTTCCAATGACAATGAATTCATAGTGTGATGTCAAGTTTTTTTCTGGTAATCCCTAGCTTTCTTTCAGCCTACTCGTAAGCTAGACAACATTGCCCATAGAGATGGGCGGTTGTTAGACATGCATAATACATGTCCTAACCACCTCAGTTGATGAAAATTCAAGAAATCATCAATTACTTCGTTATCTTTGCCTATTATCATATACATAACCGTAGCATTTCTCCCCCACTTCCTTCATGTTACACGAGTAATGTTGTAAAGGCATCCGTAATCAAATACTAGTAGTCAACTAATATTCGCTGCTTAAAATAGGGATACTGGGAAATCCTGTGCAAATACCGTTTGGGGTTAACAATCCTCATGAATATTCACCATAAGCTGTAGCATGAGTAGTAGTGTCCGAATCGAGGGCTTTCACAAGGTTTATATGCTTCAGTAGAGTGCCTTCAAATGATGGGAGATTCCGACGAATCTCTCAGGTAACGGAGTCATACGGCATCTCAAATTTAGGAAATGCGACTTTATTCGGTATTCGGAAATTATGGCCACGTTCTGGAACCTGATGAAGAGTAAATGCTTGATCACTACATTCACATTTAGATCTGAAACCATCCTGGTTCCCGAGGGTTTTCTGTCCATCAGCACCAAATAGGAGTCGGATAATTATTGAGACTAATATTTTATTTATAATATTAGTCAGACCGATCACTCTGTTGCTATAATAAGATGAGTTCTGTCTTTTTTTAAGAACTCCATCGACCACTAAACGAGACCAATCAGATGGGATTACATCTAATTCTTAAAATGTAACGTATATATCAGGCAACTGAACTGTTAATAGTTGACCACCTTATTTACAAACATCTAGAGTTAACGGTTTCTTCTACTTTCACTAGTTTCATATCGGATATGGCATTTTCAACATCATTAAGATTTTGGGGGGGGGGTTCGATTTCCCATTCATAATGTATGGAGATAATTTAATTGTTTTTAAAGTGTTTTACCCTCATTTTAATCTTCTAAACCCAAAGTGGATAATGGTTTCATATTTTTCTGAAATAGTCTCACTAACAGCTGGCTTTTTAATACTCGTCTTCTTGGTCAATTGGTAGATTCGTCTGATGCTACCCATAGTTGGTGCCTTTTTATTTCCCGCTTGCTTTTATTGATCATCCCTGATAACGATCTTTCCGTAAACTTTTTGTTAGCCAATGGTTGAACTGTCATCGCTCTTCATCATTCTCTCAGCCTACAGGGATGCGTTTTTGAGCAGCTATTAATTCAGTGAATGCTACCAAAATTCATTAGCCTTTCTTAACTTTTTAATTTAAGTTAGTATCAAATATCGGCATTGGATTCCAAACTTCTGAATGAACATTTTTAATTAAACCTTCAACGAGTTCTTCACCTTTTCATTTTTGAATTGAGCTCCATAAGGTCCTTCCATAGTGACATTTTTACATCCACTAAAACGTATACATACCCTCACTAAAACATTACCGAAGTCCAAGGTATGTGCTCCAGAAGAAGGGTAGCCTTTTAACAATACCTGATGAATATATATTCTATTTGTGTTAATTATTGTGATGTTAGAAATTGTTAGGTTAAACAGTGTTTCTTATCTTGCTTAAAGTTTGTCCTTGCTAGGAATAAGTAATTACTATAAGACCCTTTTAACTTTTTCGAACTTGACTAGGCCCATTAACTTGGGCTTTAGAAACACTTAATACGGCTAAAACGTATGAGTTAATGGCATTGTGAAGGAGGACAAAAAGCTTCCTGTAAAATTTTTCTTTTATTTCATTCAGGTTGCAGTTAAAGGGGAGGGGTGTAGATTGAAAAGGTGGAAGGGCAACGAAGTGTTCCACTAAGACAGACAATACATAAGTAAATGCTGACCGAAATCCAGTTAATTAGTAATTGTTCTAGTTTCAAACTTAGTGCTATATGTATACCAATCAAACCATGATAAGTTTCTGTCGCTTAGGCAGATGTATGAAATTTAACTGGACGATTAGCCTGTATATGTGTTTCAGAGACAAAGTGTACATTGGTGGTATAAGAGTCTATAGACTTAGCTAGTAAGGCCTGTTGTCCTGTTTGATATGTGGTTTGAAGACATATCAATAAAAAGTCCTTTGAGTATGACTGCTATTATTGGTACTAATATAAAACAATCTAGATGTTTGAACCTGTATTTCATAAAGTCTAGATAAGTATGCACTTGAAACGATAATCATTTATACCTCAGTCAAGCACTATTTTATAATTTTAAAAGTAATTTAATGTGTTCAGTCACAGTTAGCTAGTTCACCTATTCTTAATATTTCATTTGAATGTTTTACTGAATTAAGAACAAAATAGTCTCCATTATTTAACCAATATATAATTTAACAGTTTCGAACTAATAATACTTACAATTTTCTCATAGTACACATAGTTTGACTTATGTTTTAAATCAAACCTTTTTTACTTAGTTCAATTCATTTAACTTTATTTAATCAGATAGGAGTCTTGTGGATATTATAGTAATTCAACAGTTGAATTCATGAATCAATTAAAGCTAGACCACCACAGAAAACCTGGAAGCACTTGATGGCCGTTTCTTTCTAGTATGGAACTCATCAGCAGTGCGCATCCACGATCTCGTCTAGCAAGATCCGAACCAGGGACCTATCAATCTTGCACGCGAGCGCTTAACCTCCAGACCACTGAGCCGACATCCGACACTGTTTTAATTAGTTAGTTATTTCAGGCTAACATTCTTTTCAGTCTGACAATAAATCAATACAATTATGTACAGATCTGATTTTTTTTATTGCATTAACAAATTGTTGTGGTCCTGTACGATTGTCCTCAACATTATTACTATTAACATAACTACAATACTATTAATCCAATTTCATAAAATTATAGTGTCTGAATAGGAAATGTTAAACACATTCAACAGACTGGAATGAACAAAATATTGATTACTATGCAATATATTCGTGTTTTTTTTTGTTGTTGTTTTAAATTCATATGTCTGAATGTATTATTAAGCTCTAGTTACAAATTCCATTAAGAATAAATTCAGATGGGTTTGAAACGAAAAACAAACAAACAAATAATCAAATAACACATTGATACATACATGTAAATATGGATGAAGAATAAATCTGATATACAATTTTCACACGCTATATTCATATATAATTAGTATTTATTAGTATTCTTCAAAAAAATAATCACCATCATACGTCATTATACATCATTATACATAGTTTTGCATTTTGTTTTTTTTTTTTTTGATTGTACAATTGCTATTTGCTCTCATGTATGTCATGATATTATTTTGACATTCAATACATAACAAACTTTAAATCTACCAATCAACCAATCAATCAATCAATCAGAGGCATTACACTTCTGTATGTTGAATCGTTATTTTTTCTGTATGTATTCGTATCGAGACATGAGCTCATCTATCAAAATGTGTAAAATTGCCTTATAAAGAATAACTGACAATTGAAGTTTTTCTTTTTTGTTTTTTGTTTTTGTTTTTACTTATCATTGTTCCATACAGTTCAAATTGTGATAAACTTTTAAGTATATTAATTGGTAAATATTAAGGAAGTAATGTACATTATAGTTTTCTGCAGAAATACAATGCAATGATAAGGCTTGAAATAGAATGAATATTTAAGACTGTTTGGTAAATAAATAAAATGGAAAGAAATATCAAGTGTACGTGTGGATATGAAGCAAGTCTTTTTATATTTTGTAATAGAATAAAAATACATATTAAACCACAGTGATTTATATTAACCAAGTCACTAAAAAAATCATTGAAACATTTATATAAATAAACTAATAAATGGGTATAATCTATTCTTAATTTGTAATAAAGAGTTCCAATTATTTATTTGTTAAGGTCCAATATTTGAATATTAATATATATATATATATATATATATATATATATATATATGCTTGTGCGTAGGCTTGTACAGATTTCACAAGGTCATTAATCATTTAGCGTACCATAAATATGAGTTTGTGATATTATTTGTAAACAAGACAATCTTCTACTGTCAGAGTATATATATATATATATACTTTTCAGTTTATTATTAAAGTGATGTCAACCTTTATTGAAAGAATAAAAAGTAAATAAGTAGTGAAAGAGAGAGAAAGAGAAAGATAGCAGAAAGCATCCAAGTGAATATATTGTCTAAGTATTATTAGTTAATTGTTATAACTTCACATGACATGTATAAGAATGATTTCAGACTAACGACAATTTCCTAGACAGTTAAACCATTTAACTGACACAATAGAGTGACAGTTAGTCACTTGATAAAAATTAAAAACAGTTTCAGATTGTATATATTTACATTTTGTTGTATTTGTTATATTCGCTTTCAATTATTAGTTACATTCTACTTTTGTTTTAAATAATAATAAAAAAAACAGAAATGTTTTTTTTCATCCTTTTAGTATTAGTTAAATGCTTTTCT